CGTGGGAGACCGGCCCTGCTGGGCCCCCGGGCTGTGATTGGCTCCAACTCGGGTCACCGGACAGCGCTTTGCTCCCGGCGAAGCCCGGCGCAAACTGGAGAGTAACAGTAATGAGAACAATTGTTTACGGAAGCACCGTCTGCAGGCTCCGAGGCCCCAAAGCAAACACGGGGTTCACTCCTGAACGTGTTTGCTGAGAGAAGCATTAAAGGCGCCCATCGGGATTTGAGGGGGGCGGGGTCCGAAGCCCCGATGGGAAAATAAAACACCCATTTCCCAACTGGGAAGCCGGAGCGGTGGCCTCTGCCCATGCAGGGCGGCCCCCAGGAGGCGAGAGGCTCCAGCTCAAGGAACAGAAGGCCATGGCCTGGCCCGCGTGGTGGAGCGAGGACCTATGAACCGGGACCACAGGGCTCCATTCCCCTTCGGGGCACAGGCCTGGGTTGTGGGCTCCATCCCCAGTGGGGGGAGCGCAGGAGGCAGCCGATCCATGATCCCCATCATTGATGTTTCTCTCTCTCTCTCCCTTCCTCTCTGAAATCAATAAAAATATATATATTTTTAAAAGGCCATGGGTAAGTGAAGGGCCCACAAAAGACCTGGGGTGTATGGGAGCTCACAGTGGGGGTGCGGAGTGGTGGCCAGTGCGCCCCCTTTCTCTGATGAGGGAGCTGTTCCTAAGGAGGGGACCCCGCAAGCAAATCTGATGATTAAACCTAGAGCCTTGGCCGCCTGCCTGACAAAGCTACTGTGCGGCCTGGGGAGTTGCTTTGAAAGCAGACGGAGTAGAGTCCGGGTCTGCCCGGCTGTCCCTCAGGTCCAGCGGGGTTCCCCGGGCACCCGGAGACCGCGGGGGCCTTCTGCAGGGGCCCCCGACGCGCCACAGCCCCGAACGGTGAGCGCTGTGCCTGGTTCCCGTGGCCCCTATTAGAGTCAGGCACCTCCAAACGTCAGCCGGAGAGACTTCCGGGAGGAAGTGCTGTTTTCGGGGTCGCGGGGCCTCCGCTGACCGCCAGGCTGTGGGCCCTCGTGGCGCTCTCGCTGCCAGAAAAAGGCGCCCTCTTCGGTTTCCGGGCCAGAGGCCAAGGCCAGAGTACTGCTGGGCCCGCTGACACGGTGCTGGGACCTACACCCCATCCCCTTCCCGTGGACTAGACGGTGGGCTGGGAACCCGAGTCTTCCCGGTGGCCGCGCCCCTGGCAGGCGTTGGGTAAAATGCCAAGGCCGCCAGACCGCCAAGGGTGGGAGAGCGCTGAGTTCGATGGGGCCTGAGGTCGCGTCCTGCCCGCTGGGCCGATGCTGAATTGCTCTCCAGCTGCGTGGGGGCGGGGGCCCGGGCCAGGCCCCTGGAGGC